TGCACGAGTAAGAGATCCCCTGTGGAGTGCGTGAGACGAGGAGTCCGGCGTCCCTGCCATCCCCGTCGCCCTCCCCGCCTTCCCGGCTCCGCTCTCACCCCTTTTGTATCCCCCGGTTTGCTTCCGCGGCACTGCCGGGTCCCCTCAGCCCCCGCTCTGACCCTCTCGGCCTCCTGCTTCCCCTGACTCCTGCTTGCTTCGTCGCTGCCCCTGTTCCCCTTTTCTTCCCTTGCTAGTTACCCTCCCCGCTTGTTAATTCCCGATGCAATTGCCTCTTTGAGACCTTTTTTTTTTTCCTTCTCCTTTTAGATTGGGCAACGGCTCCTTTCAACCCTGCCTCGTTGGTGGCCACTGGAGAAGCGTGGGGGGCTCCCCAGGCAGCCGTGGGGACAAGTTAGAGCCAGCACTTTACCCTGGGCCTCGCGTGTAGCTTCCTGCCCCCTGTTTTAGGTGCCCCAGTGTCTGGAGGGGGGTCTGGGGGTGTTCCCTCCTTACATGTTCCACCACCCAGGCAACCCTCTGGGGTCCTGTTCCACATCGCTCTTGCTTCCTCAACAGTGGTCAAGAGGAACCACTTCATATCATGTCCCGGTACAGCTACCAAAGTCTTCTGGACTGGCTCTATGGGGGTGTGGACCCCAGTTTTGCAGGCAATGGGGGCCCGGACTGTGCTGCCTTCCTGTCTTGGCAGCAGCGGCTGCTGGAAAGTGTGGTGGTCCTGACCCTGGCCCTGTTGGAGATCCTGGTGGCCCTGCGGTTCATCCTGAGGCAGACGGAGGATGGTAGGGGTGGCCGTGGCAGCCAGCCACAGCAGGTGACCCAGCGGCCAGAGGAAGGCAAGGAGAGCCTGAGCAAGAATCTGCTCTTAGTAGCCCTGTGCCTGACCTTCGGGGTGGAGGTGGGCTTTAAGTTCGCCACCAGGACCGTCATCTACCTGCTCAACCCCTGTCACCTGGTCACGATGATGCATGTGAGTCTGTTGACTTTTTCCTGGGCAGCCTAAGTGATAAGAGTCATTTGTGTGCTCAGGACACCAGGAGTGTAAAATGCCCCATCCCTGTGGGAAGTGGGATCCTTAAAAATAATTTTCCAATGTGTGGCTGTGTTTGTACCAATTTCAAATTTGGGTTTTCACTTTTTCATGATGCATCAGTCCCACGGTGGAGGCGAGGAACCTAGTGCCCAGACCCTAGAAATGACTAGCACTCAGGCCAGCTGCCCCTCCTGTCCCAGCCCTGCCCTGCCCTGGCCTGGCCTTTCACAAGCAGGAAGTCAAGCCCCAGCCAGGTGCCCTTTCTGAATCATATCTGTGATCCAAGGCCCAGCCTTCTTGCCTTTTGCAGAAATTTCTCAGGGGCCTAGAGACACTCTTTCTTAGAGATGGTCACATAAGATTCCTTGTCTCCACTGTGATACTTTGGGAAGTAATTTTATGAGTTTCTCTTAATGACTCTTTCATTTGGGAATGTATGCTCTGGGGAAGAGGTATGTCTTTGTTCTGAGTCCGTGGAACAGATAGCTATAAGCTCCTACTAAGTGCTTTTTAAACCAGGCCCCAGGCTGATTTATGAACTTAGGACCTGTGTTCTCTATCCATAGTGAGAATGTATTTACTTTTTGCATCATATAGTTCATTCTGTCTCCTGTGATCATGGGGCATGGGTGCTCAGAAAGTTGATTTCTTTACCGCTCCAATTTCTACAAATTAGGAATGCTAAGGAAAACAAATGGGATTGAACATTCTAGGTACATAAAAATAATCTTGGTGAAGACCAAGAATGAGACTCTTTTTCTGTACTCAGCCAGTGCAGAGACAGGTTCTGAAGCTAAAAAGTCATGGAGAAGGAAAAGGAAGGGGAGAAGGGGAAAGCAATTAGTCATTTTTAGATTTCAGGATTTGGAAAGCCTGGTGTGTTTTCTTTAGGGGAACTTTGAAACATATCATTTAGCATATTTATTGCTTTTGTACTTGTAGATGGCTATTCTTAAGAAACTTATGACAACCCTGTATGGGACAGGAGGTTTAGATTATTATTTTCCATTTTATGGCCCTGGCAGGGATCAAGGATAGAAGATAACTTGCCTGCAGCCAAAAGATGAATTAACATCTGGGATGTAAAACAACCCCCCCCCAGTTGCAAACTTGTCAATACCAAAGTGAGGGTGACAGTGAGTGGTAGGGTTGACCTAGGGGAAGGTCCAAGCAGATGAGCATGATACTCAGATACTTGCTAGCTCTGTGTTATTAGGAACTCATTTGATTGTAAATTCCTGGCCTGTTTCCCGATCTGTGAAGTGTGATGGATGACCTGTGGCCCATTCCTGCCTTGCAAATGTGGCAATGAAGTGAGGGGTTGCTTTGGAATAAGGAGACTATTCTGGATTGAGTGGCTGAAACATGGGACAGAGCATTTTTTTCAGAGAGGACTTCTTGGCTCATGATGCCATTCACAGGAAGTCCAGGGCTGTCCCACCTAAACCTTCTGTGTAAATTTGAGCCAGTCTCTTTCTTTCTTTTTCTGAATGGGTTTTTTGTTAATGAGAGAAAACAATACATCTCAGCCACTGCTGTGTGAGGCTGTCAGGACAGGAGTGCTTTTTTAGGATGGCAGGTGTTGAGGGTCAGAGGGTACCTCTTCTACAAAGGGGTCTTCAGGTCTCTGGCAACCACATATCTAGATGGTCATCAAAGGACTAACTAAATTCAGCCTCACTGGGCCTGCTGCTGGTATGATGACGTCAAATCTGGCAGCACCATAGGTTTTAGAGGGAAGAGTTTTAGAGGCTTTTAGAAGACTCAGGAGACCTAGTTTTTGCATTAATTAGTGGTATGACTTTGGGGAAAGTACTTTTGCTGGGCTTCAGTTTGCTTATCTGTAAAATGAGACAGAGTTACACCCCAGCTCTTGACAATCTATATCCTATGGTTCTTTTCTCTGAAAGTAGTAGGTGAGGGTGCAACACCGAGCTGTTCTGAAAGGCTTTTGACCTCCTTGTGCAGAAAAGGAAACTAATTTCTTCTCTGTCGATGTCAGGGTAACCAATCCCTATTCTTCTTTTGCTCCATGTGTCTTCCTTTTAAAGTAAACTCAACCAGGTCACCCTTGGGGACACACATACAGAACGATGGCCTCTTAGGGAGAGATGAATATTTGGGGCAATGGTCTGAATCTTCTGTCACCTGTGACCTTTCTAGTGTCCTTCACTTAAACTCTGAGGCTGTAGGATAGGGGCAGAAAACAGAATCATGCTGTGGAATTTTTTGAGTCCTACCAGGATTATACTCCTTTGCTCTCTACCCCAAGTCATTGCTTTGCATCATTTAAGTAGTAACCTCTGGCCTCCTAGTAAACATATCCTTTGATGAATCCAACTTTCCCTGCTTTCTAGAAGTGTGGCTCATCCCTGGAACCAGAGATGTATGGATTTTTAAAAAGTTAATTGTGGATCCTAAAAAAATAGCAGCATATGGTCAGAAACAATTTTCTGACTTGTTTGCAGCAATGACTAATGATAGTATGTGAGGTTAGTAATACATTACATTATCTAGGATTTTATTTTTTATAAGGCATTATCATATAAATTATCTTATTTAGTTGTGGTAGATCAGTTTAGGCCTAGGTAAAGAAATGTTAAATTGTTTCCTGTGACTGTCTGTTTCCAAAGAGGAGACACTATGTATAAAAAATGCTTTGGCAAGCGAATTATCTGAATTAGGCTATATTATAGCAGAACATTCTGTAGCGTATAGAAGTCATGACAAGAAAAGGGAGATGGTAGCTGAAATGAAAGGGCTAACTTAGGAAGCGATATTTCTGATGTGTTTCCACATTTGTGGAAATGCCTTCTTCCTCAGAGTCAGTGTAAGTTTATAACGAGGACAATATTGCTTTAGGCCAGGTAGAGGAGGTGGAGGGAAATGGGTTACTTTCCCCAGCTCCCATTTTTCAGTCTGTGCAGTGCTCATTTCAGATGCTTTATTACACAGACCCTTATCATAGGCATGCTGCCTTTGGACTGCCAACTGTAGCAGCATAAGGAAGGGCAGTACTTATGTCTGAATTATTCTGTTTTTGATTACTATTCCTGCTGTTGGGTTTCTTTTTGGTCTTGTCTGACTTCTAAAAGGTCCTGGAACTGTAGACTGATACTAATACAGTAAATTGTAGGATTGAAATATCACAGCTCAGCACTACCCTGAAGTGTATGGGAGTTCTCAAGGTCAGCAAGGAACATGGTTAGCACATCACTGTTAAATATCAGTGGTGACTATCAATTGTACCAATAATCTTCAAATGTGGCCAGTCAATCCTTTTTTCCCTGTGATTTTGGTAGGTATGGGTGACAGGAATGAATTTACTGTGTAATAGTGCTGTTTACTAAAAATCTTCCGACAAGTCATTGGCAGAAGTGGTTTTTATATGTGAGCTGTGACAGTGGGAATCTTGGCTTTGCAGGAAGAGATTCTCATAGTTATTAAAGTCTTCAAAATCTGCAGTTTCTCAGCAGAAGGGTTAAAATGCTAGTTTGGCTGATTGGATCTGTAAAGACTGGTGATCTTAGTAGCTCTTTGTCCTCCTTGAATCCAATTATGTTATGTTTGTCTTAAGAATTCAATGCAAATATCACATTTTGGGTGTTTTGTTTAATTGTCCCATTCTTGTCGGTTCTGTATATATCTGTACCAACACCTGGTTAAACATGAACTAAGTGGTCACAGGATATGCTATTTAACCTTCAGTGTCCATGCACATAAAGCAGTCTGCATTCAGGTGGAATGTTTGGCAAGTAATAACTGATGTTATTGACCATTTAGCTAATAGCCACTGATTTTTTGCTGGTAATACTGAGCTCCATTCCTTTTTAGAGTTGACGTTGCTGTTTGACTTTCTGTCTTTATAATATATGAGAAGTTTAATACCCACCACATACAGCTTACCTGATTTGAGTTCACTGGCATCTTCTGTCCTTGCTAAAAGGGTAGAATGGCACATACTAAAAAAAATCCTTCCTTTTGTTTTGGTGAGACCTTTTGTAATTTACTGAATACACCCTGATGCATCCTGCTTACTGTGTAATGAATTTGCTTTAGAGAAAACCTGGTGTAATTGAGATTCAAGCTTTCTCTTTTTCCCATAGACTTCAGACCAGACACACCTCCTCATCCCCTATCTGTTGTCTGGAGGGCCGATTACTCTTCCTGCTTGGAATTGATGTTGGTGGGTAATGCGTACAATGAGGAATCCAGCCATCTGCTGAAAATTTATCAGATGAACTGTGTCCTGTGTCATCATTTCAGGGGGACTGAAGAGAATGATGTTTATATGGGCCTCAGCAGTGAGGCATAGCATTCCTTTTTACCTTGCTTTCTTTCTGACCGCACAGGAAATTTGCAGAGAATTTTCTCATCTTTCATTTGCGACAGTCTTTCAGGGGCATCCCTTATAAAGAGAGGTAGTATGGGTTGGTTGATTAAACAATCTACAAACAACACTGGGATTTAAAATTATGGTGCTCATTTTGTTCGTGGTCTGCTACAGAAACTTGGGAAAACTATTTAACTTCTTCCTATTCCAGTTGTCTGCATGAAATGGGCCACATGGAAACAAAATATTTTAATCCTCTGAAAACTATGTGATCACTTAAACAGAGAAGCTGAGCAAAGCTGAACAACACTGGCAGATGACTAATAAGATTGTACTTCAAACTGAAGGACTGACAAGCCTCATCTCCTTTTTCCTCTCTTTATACCTACTGGAAGTCATTTCTCTAATTTCTGTTGCTTTTCTTTGGATCCCTGCCCACACTCGCATACCCTTGTATTGCACTGCATGCAAAACTGCAGGCTGTAACTCTTACAAGAAGTCTAGCTCACACCAAGCCAAGAGGAAAGATTTTCTTCACAGCCTTTTTGTGTCATGCACCTGGTAATACAACCCAGCATTGCATGTGCTTTAAAATAACCATATG